TACCACTGCCTGCTAGTTTATACTAATCCAGTTTTATGCTCTATAATTTATTGACTGTTGAATTAATATAAGTGGCAGCTATGAGGTTTTTTTTATACTGGTGAGAGGAAAGTCTTTAGTACTGTACTTCAAATAAACCCTCAGTGAAATGTGTCACGACAGCAACTTTGTCCCTGTAGGCCTGCAACGCTTGTGCCAGTTAATCACTGCACACGATGAGCACGGAGCCCGCTAGCCTGGAGAGCCTGCGTGTACTGTATCACAGTGATGACTACATCGTGGTGGACAAACACTGGGACATCCGCATCGACAGCAAGATGTGGTACGAGAAGAACACCGTACAGGCACAGCTTCGCCACCGCTTCCCTCAGCTGGCTGACCCACGCACCTACTATGGATTTCGGTCAGAATGCCTTTACTTCCTCTGCACTTGTCAGATGTTCTTGGTAGCAGGAGTAGTCTTATTGTTTTCCTCGTCTCTCACAAGGTTCTGTCATCAGTTGGATTTCTCCACAAGTGGAGCTCTTTGTGTTGCCCTGAATAAAGCTGCCGCTGGCCGGGCTTACCGCTGCTTCAAGGACCGCACCGTGACCAAATTCTACCTCGCTCTGGTATGGGCCGCAAATACAGTGAAACACATGCAATTGTGTTCTGACACTTTAATGAATTTAATGAGCGGTTTTTTGTTTGTTTGGTTGGTTGGTTTTTTGTGCTGTTAGAGTCCCTTAATCCATAGCATAATTACTGACAAAGATAAAATATTTTTTATCTTTCAGAATTTGATAAATGAAAATAGAGTAAAATAAAAATGATAACAGGAAATAATATAATAAGCGTAAAAAAGAGATAAGGATATACTGTATACAGTAAGTCAGATGGCGCATGGGACATAGAAATGTACAAGATCTGCTGGATAAATTAAAACGAGCTCATGTAAGCACTTATATGTGAGGAAGAATATTTTAAAATTGATCCTGTACTTCACAGGAAGCCAGTGCAACGATTTAAGAAGATGATCTTCTGTGTGCCTGTCAGGGGTCTAGCAGTTGCATTTTGAAAGAGCTGCAGTTGTGTTATAAGCGTTTTGCAGTAATCCAATCTGGATGTAATAAAAACATGAATGACTTTTTCTAGTTCAGAATTAGAAAGAAATGGCTTAACAGCTGCTCTGATCTGTGCGTCTAATTTAAGAGAGGAATCAAACAGAACAGTTAAGTTTTTTTTTTTCTGAGGCTTAAGAAATGATGCCAGCGATCATTATCTGAAGTGATAGTGGAAACTACATGTCATGTCTAACATGTCATACCGTTCACTGTAATACCGGTATAATGTTGGGCAATGATAAGAAAATGAAATATCGCGATAGGATATGGGTAAAACGCGCATGCGCAGTGCCTTTGTTTTCATACGCACATGGCGGAAAAAGCATGGCGGCGACAGATAATGAGAAGGGCGAAAGTGGATCGTTGAATGAAACGGATGAACCAGAACTGGTTTGTAAAAATGCTGCAACTTCAGTGGTGTGGAACTAGTTTAGCTTTCATCCGTCAGATACACAACAAAGCACTATTTTTGGTAGAGCATGCTAGCGAGCTGTCGTTATTACCGTGTTTTTCGGAAAATACGGCACACTTAAAATCAATCCTTTGATTTTTCTGAAAATCGACAGCGGCCCTTATAATCCCGTGTGCTTTATGTATGAATTCTGGTTGTGTTTACTGACCTCGAAATGATTTTATGTCGTACACGGCGCTCGAAAATCTGTCAAATGCTTTAGTACGACTTTGCTAAGCTACGAACCCGCACGGTCGGAGCATGACGGCTATCGTAGGCTGGAGCCTCGCGGAGTGATACGTACTGTGCTTCAACATAACATTAGGGCTGTGTGATATGACCAAAATCTCATATCCCGATATAAGAATTCTATCGTCCGATAACGATATAAATCACAAAAATTTAACATTTTCTGTAAATTCTGTGAATCTTGAGCAGCTCGACTTGCGTGAAGTGTTTCCAGCTGCGTTGTGTAGCTGGAGTTGAGTGTTTTAACCAATACATGAAACGATACATTTAACGATACATTTAGACATAAGTTGTAAAGGCCGCTGTTTTCTTTGTATTTATTACACTGCAGGGAAAAGCCTGTTCTAACGTTTGAGTCTAAGGTTTATTTTTTAGCACCTGACGGCTCTTTTTTGCTTCTCATCCGTAAATACTCTGCATACTGTTTCACTTGATTCAGTTTATTTTGAAAAGTTTCAACAGGATCTTGAGCTTTATTGTGAAAGGTTTATGTGGAAATTAAATGAGCAGACACGCGATGGTTTTACCGTCGTTGTTGCTAATGACAATGCATAAACACAGTCACTTGTCCGTCCGTAGTGTGGTTATATTAAATATAAGAGAAAGAGAGAACTTCAAGAAATTAGTATAGTCACTACAGTGACCATTAAAACAATGAAAAAATCTTGCTGTAAACGGTTTATTTTGCGACACCACGCAAACAAACGATAGCGTAAAATGAAACGATAGACGTTTTTATATCATCATCCCGAACAGCCCTACATAATATTACCGTATTGTGTGTGTATAACCTCTTTTTAAGTTTTGTGGATATTATACACGGTTATGCTGAGGATATGTCGGCCAATTTCCACTGGAAATGCCTTTTGGTTAAACTGTCACCAAGGATTTGCATTTGCACGGTTAAATTTTTATATAGCTTTAATGCACATAAAAACCATCTCCTTGTTTAAGTGAAAATACGTTGATGGGGTTTTTTGTGCACTAATAAAGTTGTGGAGTTGTAAAGTATTTTGTCTAGTGTCAATTATATCGTCAGTTATATCGTTATCGCAAATTTTCAAAAGTATATCGTGATAAATATTTTTGGTCATATCGCCCTTCTCAAGTGGAAACTGTAACTGCCTGCTGAAAAGTGGATGAATCACTAAAGTTTCAGTTTTATTTTAAGGTAGATGTGAGGCTTGGCAAAAGAAAACAAAAGAGGAAGAAGGCCATGAACCGGCCACATTGTGGGTCATCAGATTCAGGCTACTTCCCTAAACTATTATGAGTAAGCTTAACTAACAGAACCAAAATTTCCAGCTCAATTAATGATTAATAGGACCTGACAAGTACTGCCGAGTTAAGGTAGAGCAGGCAGAGAGAGAGAAAGAGAGCTGACCTTCTGTTCTTTGACCAATCAGCACGAGGGATGAATGAGAGAGGAAGGAGAGCAGGTTAACAAGGATTACAGAAAAGAACAATAACCAGATGATGGATGTGCGGGTGCTCTGAGACACGTGTCAGTGAAAATACACTTTTTGCTTTCCAGATACGTGGGGCGGTCGAAGGAGAGACGCACACTGTGGACTTCTCCATCGGCAAGAACTCCACGGAGGGAAAAACACATATGATGTGTGTTGAGGGAACAGAAGGTACTTAAACTTGGCTTGGTTTGAGTCTTGTGAGTGTGAACAACAATGAGTAGAGACTCTGACATTTATTCCATCTGGACATCGTGTTGAAAGTAAATCATTAATTTCCAACAGTTGTTTGAATTATATTCTGTGTTCTTTCCTTCTGTGGTCAGGTTGTGAGAACCCCAAGCCTTGCCAGACTGAGCTCTTAGTGTTAGAATATGGGTTATATGACGGAGACCCTGTTACCAAGGTGCTGCTGCAGCCTCTCACTGGTAATTGCATTTGTTTCAAAGGACAAATGAAGATTTTCTTCTTGCAGAGGAAAGCCCAGCTTCCATGTAAAGATGGCAGTGCCAGGCCTGATTTTTTTGTGTGTGTTTGTTTGTTTGGTTTTTTTAACTGTAACATTCATTTAGAAAGAAGCAAACACTTCCTAAAAAGTCTCCCTCCCGCTGCCGCTCAATTTTCCTTTTCTTCTCAGGTCGAACCCACCAGTTAAGGGTCCACTGCAGCGCTTTAGGCCACCCTATTGTCGGGGACTTCACCTACAGCTCGGGAACAGACAACTCCCCGTACCGCATGATGCTGCACGCACACCTCCTCCACATTCCCCTCGAACCTCAGCCACTGCGCGTCACTGCTGGAGACCCTTTTGTCCCAGCGGTTGATCCCAAGTGGCTCCCGCAGTGCTCATTAAGGACACTAGAGGCCACTGTGGAGGCCCTGATACACTGCAGGGAGGAGGAGGACAGGAAGATTAAAAAAGAAGAGCAAGAGAGAGTGAGAAAAGAAGAGGAGGATGAGAGGAGAAAACGAAGCAAGGAGCAGAGCACTGAGGAGGAGAGTGAGGAGCAGAGGAGACAGTGCCAGCAGTGGCTGAGTGAATGGGCTGGAGATTGATTTATTATTACTATTATTATCATTATTACTTTTCATGGGTTTCGCTGTCTCCTCGTGCATGTTGAGCATGCATTTTATTTGAGTGTCCACATCTGTTTCATTTCAGCTGCATCTTGGTGGTTTAACTCCTTTACGTTCTCACAAGTTAAAATCACAAAAAGACATGTGAGCATAGTTTATGCTGCACTACTGGAATGTCCACACTATACCCACTGCAAGCTGCGAAACAAGTGCCTTGCTCAAGGTCAAGTTAATAAGAGTTCCTTGTTGCTTTTTTAATTTTAATGTGCCAACATTATAAGAAATTGGCCTTTTTCTGAACTACAAAAGCATATGTTAATTTCTCCCAGGAAAAAAAACTGTTTTTAAACTCGTGTGATTGGTTATTTATGATACAAAGCACTGACATGCATGAAGTCCCACATGAAACATACTGTATCTGTAAACACT